CCCAAAGCACAGCAACTACAGGTGTGAGCTGCCACATCCAGCAGCTTCTTACTCTTTAAACAACACACGACATTCTCCTGGAGTTCCTGGAGGGGATTGTCTCTTTGAACTCAAAATCTTTCCAGGACACCTGATCAATCCATCAGGCTTTCTAGATTGGAGGCAGAAGAAACTGTAGCTTAGTGATCCCCTTTGCAAGAGCCCCCTCTGCAGCCCTTGAGTGAAGCGAAAGCATTTTCATCTGGTCTCACTCCCTTCCACAGCCAGCTCTTTCACTTCTAGAGCTGGGTTGGTTGTGATAACTTGGAGGAGGAGGAATTAGTCGGGATGCCTCACTTGCCCCAGCCCATCAACACTGGCCCAGGCTTGTGGCCAGATGCCTGGTTAACCAGCCCCAAAACAGCTTCTTTTCTCAGGAAAAGAATGATTATTGATCCTCTATACCTATTGCCCACGACAGTATCAGGCACACCTACAGGCCCTTGGGCATTTGTGTGGCATCATCAGCCTTATGCCTGGACCACCAAGTCAAACTTTCCCAGTAGCACTTCGTGGGAAACTCCAACTCCTAGTGTCAGAAGGCACCACGAGGCGCGGATGTCCTGGGCCTCCCAGCACAGGCAAGCCCAGCACAGACACAGAAACCCGACAATGAGCCAAGATCTCTCCCCTTGTCTTGACTTGAATTTCAGATTTATTAATGCTGAGCCCTCCTGGCCCCCAGTGGGACTCCCCTTGGCCTTACACAGGTAATGCCTATATCCTGGCCTTGGGTTTTCCTAGAAGCCAGACTCTGGGAAGAACGTGGAGTGGAGGAAAAAACAGGCAGAGGGAACCCCATGACATTGAGGGGCTCTGCCTGCTATATGGGACATCCTTTTGGAAGGATGGAGCTGGTGGGGAGGGAGCTGGGGAGGGAGCTAGGGAGGGAGACACATGGGGGAGTCTCCATATGTCTCTAATGTGGCATCAAATTAGAGATGCCCCTAATGTGGCATCAAAGCCAGGCAGTCAGGGTCTCCTGCTGTGCTAGAGGTTGGAAGCCAGGGCTGCAGCTTCCCATCTTACTCTTGGCTTGCAGGTCAGCTGTCTTCCCTCAGATGAGTCTAAGGTTCCAATTTCATAAGATGAGAAGGGCTGAGGTGATTCCCATTCTACCACTTTGCTGAGTCCAGAGCTGTGATGAAGTGAAGAGGGAGAACGCACAGGGCAGGACAGAGAAGTTGCTCAGGGACCTGGGAGTTTTCCTTGGCAGAAGTCAACTTGCCCCACCCCTGAGAAAACTCTGACCTTCTCTGCCAGGGAGGAAAGCAGGGACTGGGGAGGAGGGGACAGAGAGGGAACAGTCTGGTGCTCTGTGCTCTGGGAGAGAAGTCTAATGACTGCAGAGACCCACTTGCATCCATAATCCCAGCACTTTGGGAGACCAAGGCGGGCAGATCACGAGGTCAGGATGAGAACATCCTGGCCAACAAGGTAAAACCCATCTTTACTAAAAATACAAAAATTAGCTGGGTGTGGTGCACATCTGTAGTACCAGCTACTCAGGAGGCCAAGGCAGGGGAATTGCTTGAACCCAGGAGAAGGAGGTTGTAGTGAGTAGAGATTGCGCCATTGCACTCTAGCCTGGGCGACAGACCGAGACTCCATCTCGAAAAAAAAAAAAAAGAAGTATCTGTCAAGCCACAGCCTAAGCCAGTCCATGAATGCCTCTTACGGAGAACAGATTTATGGCAGGAAAGGTCAGCGTGATCTCTGCCCCACTGCCTGCTGCCTGGCCCTGACTGCTAATTAAGCCTCCCACCCTGTCCCCTTCACCAACTCCTCCTGTCCTAGTCGGGATGGGGTAGGATTAGTCAAAGGAGCCAAATCTCCTCAATCAACAGGGAACTCCAGTTGGGACCAGAAGCACTGGGGCCCAGTGGCTCCCCCATCTGCACTCCTGGTCTGAGGCAGATAGGGGGTCATAGGGGGACAGACTGGCAAAGTGTAGGCCTTGTGCATGGGATGGAGGCTGCCAGGAGAGAGCAGCCAAATTCTCCCACTGGCACACATGTATGGCCAGCCATGATCAGGTGGGACCTCCAAGATAATAATCAAACCACCTTCTCTTACCTCTGTGTTCCCCTTCACTTAGGGCATCTCGGAGTGAGATGGGCAGGGAGGGGTTGAGGGAGCCCCATCATAAACAAACCATATCTTTGTTTCAGGGGCAGGACCAGGTACATAATTTGCAGGACCCAGTGCGAACTGAAAATGTGGAGTCTGTTGTTCAAAAGTTGAGAATTTCAAGGCAGTGACAACAGAGCATGAAACCAAGTTCAGGTCCCCTATGAGTGTGGGGCTTTTGCCACTGCACATATGGCACCCCTATGAAGCCAGCCATGTGCAGGGGTTTTAATGAATATTCACTAAGCGCCCACTGCTCAGCTCTTCTGGCTCTGTAATATGGTCTGGCTCTGTGTCCACACCAAATGTCATTTAGAATTGAAATCCCCACGTGTTGGGGGAGGAAGCTTGTGGGAGGTGATTACATCATGGGAGTGGTTCTCACATGCTGTTCTCGTGGTAGTGAGTGAGTTCTCACAAAATCTGATGGTTTTATAAGGGGACTTTTCCCTCTTCGTTCTGCACTTCTCTCTTCTGCTGCCATGTGAAGAAGGAAGGATGTGTTTGCTGCCCCTTCCACCATGATTGTCAGTTTCCTGAGGCCTCCCCAGCCATGTGGAACTATGAATCAATTAAACTTCTTTTCTTTATAAGTTACCCAGTTTCAGGCATTTCTTCATAACAGTGTGAAAATGAACTAGTACACTCTGTGACCTCAAAGACTCCCTCTCAGTGACCTTGTTCTCAAATGTGTGAAGATGGATGCTCAAAGATCTCTCTGTAAACATGGAGCGTGGGCTGTCTCAAAACATAAGTGATTAACTTTTAATCTATAACTAAGGTCTGAGTCCTGAAGACCTTTCTCTGGAGCCTCAGTAAATTTAGTTAATCTAGATGGTTCCAGGTGCTGCGGATGATTACCCTTTTCTCCTGTGAAATCATGGAGGTTTGGGGAGTTCCTTTAGACCCCTTTATGAAGGTTTGTTTTCTTCTTTTTTCTTTCCTACAAGGACAAAGTGAATTCTGTGATGGTTTGTGTAACATTTTTTAGTTTATTGCCAAAAATTGAGACTCAAATTTGTAGATTACATTTTTTAATAAAACTATCTAGACAAAGATATGCAGGATATCATTTTCCAAATCTACATAGAGTTGATAGCAAATTTTTCTCTTTAACTTTCCTTGCGACAGGGTGGATTATCATTACAGAGAACATCCTTAAAATAGAGCACAGATCTTCCTACTGCCTACTGGGCTCTGGTCACATAGCACCCAGAGTTGTCCTTCAACTTCCACTTCTTGGCTCTTTTGCTCACCTTCTCTATTTCTAGAACGGCTTTGTCATTTCACATGTCTGTCTGGTAATATCCTACTCCTGTAAGAATCAGTGAGTTCTTGGTACCTATTGGTCTAAATTTGCCTCCTGTTTGAACCTTTTTTCAGTTTTCTAGGTAAGGTTGATTTATCTGTCTTCTATGTTTCCTTAACAATCTTTCCAAGCATACTACAGTAAAAAGAGAGCTGATTCATCATGTCCTGTCCGTTTCCCTCTGGAGCCGATGTGAGGGTTGCAGATGTGCCCCTGTATAAGATCTTCGGTCACTTATGTCAGTTTATCACAGTTCTCAGTATAATGGCACTTGTTCCCAGGTGCCATTAAACTGGACCTGAATAGTTGAAGGATTGAAAGTGTTCAGAATGCTTCAATAATTCATCCTAATTAGGGATACGGGGAAAGTTTGCATGAGAAAGAAGGTTGTTTTTTTTTTTTTTTTTTGAGCTTTAAGGATAAGTTAAAATTCAGTAGGCAGAATGATAAAGCTTCATAATTTTTTATTTTAAATGTTCATTTTTTTACTATTTTAATACAATAATTTATTTTTTTAAGAAAAAGGCAAAATCCACTGTTTATTAGAAGTCAGATTTTATGATTTTTATACTCCTAGACCTGTTGCATGTCAAACCCACATAAAAACATCTATAAATCAAGCCACTAATTGCCCCCAGTATAATAATTCTACATATGGATGTAATGTTTGATTCTTCAGAACTTTAATAACTTGAAGGCCCTTTGATTGCTTTAAAATTAATTTTCATTGATTTGTTTATATTGTATCATTAAGCAAAAGTACAGAGTAAGCAATTAATGTGATTAATTCTTTCGTAATACAGTAAAGCACTGCCTCCCTAGACCAATTCTCTGGGATCCCTGGAAGACATCTGGAATCCAGAAAATCTTGACTCTTCTTTAGAAAGCCATGGAGAAACTGGAGGCAATTCTGTTGATTATTTGCCCTCTAGAGGCAATTTTGTAAATCGCCCTCCCTCACCTATCTATGACACAATTTCTCCAGTTACATGCAGAATGCTGTTAGGTATCTCCTGGCCAGACCTTTTATTTCATAGATGTGGAAAGTGAGGCCATGTAGGATGAGGTGATTGTTCAGAGTCCACACGACTAGTTAGTGCCCAGAGACTGGCGGGGACTTCTCTCTTGTTCTGGGGCCTTGAGTTCTTTCCCTCTTCTATAGTACATAAGGCCAGAGGTAACATAATCTGTGTACCACATTTGCATTTGGAGTGCACCTGTTTTGCATTCATTTAGTCTTGCTGAGATGGTTTGCTTTTTGACCTCCTCAGTCAGTTATCTTCTCACCTTTGTGAGTTGAGAGCTTTGTATATTAAGTCTGTAAAATTTTGCATCTTGGAAAGTGACATAATCTGCAGCAGACCCATGCTGTCTTCAGATGCATCTTAATTGTGATAGTGATAATGATTGAGAAGCTTCACATATTTTTCTGTGCTGTTACAGAATATGCCTTCTTAATTCAACTAGAGGTGGAGTAAAAGACAACAGAATATAATATTTTTGTTTCTTTGATTTAGGTAAAATACTTATTTGTTGACAAGACTAGGGCTCTTACATAGACTGCCATGAACTACAAGAAGTACAAGCCGGGTGCGGTGGCTCAAGCCTGTAATCCCAGCCCAGCACGAGGTCAAGAGATCGAGACCATCCTGGTCAACATGGTGAAATCCCGTCTCTACTAAAAATACAAAAAATTAGCTGGGCATGGTGGCACATGCCTGTAATCCCAGCTACTCAGGAGGCGGAGGCAGGAGAATTGCCTGAACCCAGGAGGCAGAGGTTCTGGTGAGGTGAGATCGCGCCATTGCACTCCAGCCTGGGTAACAAGAGCGAAACTCTGTCTCAAAAAAAAAAAAGAAGTACGGCATTGCCAGAGTAACCTGTGGTAAGTGTGTTTATCACTTACTGAACACTTTACTTGCATTCTTTCAACAAAATGAGTTTATCTTTAGCTACTTAGTCAAATTATCTTGATTTTCTGATGTTTTGAAAAGATATTTATAATAGATTTAGGTATTTCATTAATATTGAATGTATTTAAAACTAATGGGTCCCAAAGGAAATAGGTCCCAAAGGAAACTGAACAGTTAAAAACATGGTTTATTTCTGCAAATATTAACTTAGTGAGAAATCCCAGGGAAACTGCACATTTGTATATTCTATCTAACAATTATGATTATTTTTAGAGTGTGTTTTGATCAGACTGTCTTTTGATCACAGTTTTGTGACCACTGTTTTCCCTCTCTCTGGCTGTCATTTCCCAGAATTGACAAGGAAGTCATCCTCAGGTGATTTCTGCTAAATAAATCCTAGCACTTTTTGACACTTTAGAAAAGGTTTGGAATAATTTTATATTAGCATTTCTCACCTGCATATTTTTACATGTAGATACGAGTTGCATATACATTACTTTGAGAGAGAACCACGATAAAATTTTAAGAAACATGGTTTTAGAAGTCCAGTGGTGGTATAAGACTTCACAAAACACAGACTGCTCTTGATTCAGTACTTCCTTCTTACTCCTCGGATACAGCCAACTTCAACATTTTTTACTTTAAAAAAGGTATTTTTATATTTAAAAATAATGTTTGTATGACCTGTCTCTCCCCCATCCTGCCCCACTCTTCCTTTACCTGCTTCAGAAGCATTTAAAATTTTCTGCATCTCCTTAGCATATACCATTCCGATCATGAATCGTAGGGTAGGCTTTTCCTTTAATTTGTGCTTTTAATGAACCATTTGTGGTACATGTCTGTTTTTCTCGTTAATTCTTGGGAATGTCTTTGTATGGTTTCTGTAATAATTTTCTTCCCCTTCAGCTTTCCTGTTTCTTCTGGATCTCTTGTTAGATATTGAACCTCATGAGTTGATCTTTTAATTTTTATCATCTCCCTCTTTCATTTTTTAAAAAATTTTGTGTTTCATTTTCTGGTATCTAACTCACCTTGATTTTTTATCTTTCTGGTGACATTTTCATATGCTCTCACTTTCAAGTTGTCAAAACCATTCTCCTGACCTTGCTTTTGCATTTCGTTTTCTCTGCCCTCCTCTTTGATTCTCCCCATTGCCGCCTGGTATTTCGGTTTCTAAATTTCATTTTATAGGCTTTCTTCAAAGGCCTGGTGATCATTTGCTGTGTGCTTATGTATTTTTTATTTTTTCATTGGGCGAAATACATGTAACATAAAATGGATCATATTAGCTATAAGTGTACAGTTGGTTGCTTTAACGATATTCATAATGTTTTGCAGTGATTCCCACCATTCATTTATAGAACTTTTTCATGTGAATCTCTGTACCTGTTAAACAGTAATTCCTATTTCCTGTCTTCCTCCAGTCCCTGTTAACTACCACTCTACTTTCTGCCTCTGTGACTTTGCCTATCTTAGGTACCTCATATAAATGGAATCATACGGTATTTATCTTTTTATGTTCAGCTTATTTCCCTTAGCATAATATATTCAAGGTTTCATTGTTCATCGACATTGTGGAACATGTCAGAATCTCCTTCCTTTAAAAAGGAATAATATTCAGATGGGTGGCTCACGCCTGTAATCCCAGCACTTTGGGAAGCCAAGGTGGGCAGATCACGAGGTCAAGAGATCGAGGCCATCCTTACCACCATGGTGAAACCCCCGTCTCTGCTAAAAAATACAAAAATTAGCTGAGCCTGGTGGTGTGCGCTTGTAGTCCAGTCCCAGCTACTAGGGAGGCTGAGGAGGAAGAATCACTTGAACCGGGAGGCAGAGGTTGCAGTGAGCCAAGATTGCGCCACTGCACTCCAGCCTGGTGTCAGAGAGAGACACTGTCTCAAAAAAAATTAAAAAGGAATAATATTCAAGTAATATTCCATTGCATGCATATATCATATTTGTTTATCCATTCATCTACTGGTGGGCATTCGTGTTGCTTCCACCTTCTGGCTACTGTGAATAATGCTGCTGTGAACATTGCTATACAGGTATATTTTTGGGTCACTGCATTTAATTCTTGAGGCTATATGCCTCAAAATGGAATTACTGGGTCATATAGTAATTCCATGTTCAAATTTTTAAGGAACCATCGTGCTGTTCTCTAGAGCAGTCCACCACTCTACACCATTATTAGTATTGCACATGGGTTTCATATCCTCCATATCCTTGTCAACACTTGTTATTTTCCATCTTTTGTTTGTTTGCATTATGATAGCCAGTTTAATGGGTGTGAAGTTGTACCTCACTGTGGTCTTGCTTTCCATTTCCCGTATGACTTGGGATATTGTTTGCACATACTTTAAGGTTTATACACTAACAAAGCTGATTACTAGGGCTGTGTGTGTAGAGGGAACTGTGTGGCTGCTGAGTGGCTTCCCTGTGGGATGATCAGCCAGAACCCACTATTGTATTAAGGGGATCCCCAGATGTCAGTGTCTATGGGTCTTTTTTAGTTTTTATGGGTACATAGTAGGTACATATATTTATAGGTACATGAGATGTTTTGATACAAACATATAATGCATAGTAATCACATCAGGGTAAATGGGATATCCATCATCTCAAACATTTATCATTTCTCTGTATTATAAGTAATTCAGACATGCTCATTATTTAAAAATGTACAAAAAACTATTGCTGACTGTAGTTACCCTATCATGCTATCAAATAATAGATTATTCATTGTAACTATATATTGTACCTATTAACTGTCCCCAGTTTCCCCTGACTACACTTTCCAGCTAACAACCATTCCCAGAGTAACCATTCTATTCTATCTTCATGAGTTTGTTTTAATGTTTAGCTCCCCAAAATGAGTGTGAATGTGCAAAGTTTATCTTCCCGTGGCTGGCTTATTTTACTTAAAATAATGTCTTCCAGCACCATTCTATGATGTCACTAATGACAGAATCTCATTCTTTGTTATGACTGAATAGTACTCCATTGTATATATGCACATTTTCTTTATCTATTCATCTGTTGATGGACACTTAGGTTGCTTCCACATCTTGGATATCATGAATAGTAATGTAATAAACATAGGAGTGCAGCTATCTCTTCGATAGATTGATTTTCTTTTTTGTGTATATATCTAGCAATGAGATTGCTGGATCACAGGGTAGCTCTATTTTTAGTGTTTTGAGGAAACTCCAAATTGTTCTCCATAGTGGTTGCACTAATTTACATCCCCACCAACAGTATGCAAGGGTTCCCTTTTTTCCATATCCTCACCAGCATTTGTTATCACCTGTCTTTTGAATGAAAGCCATTTTAACTGGGGTAAGATGATGTCTCCTCATAGTTCTGATTTTCATTTCTCTGATAATCAGTGATGTTGATCACCTTTTCCTAAGTCTGTTAGCCTTTTGTATTTCTTTTTTTTTTGAGAAATGTCTATTAAGATCTTTTGCCCATTTTAAAATCAGATTAGATTTTTCTCTATACAGTTGTTTGAGCTTTTTATATATTCTGGTTATTAATTCCTTGTCACATGGGGAGTTTGCAAATATGTTTCCCCATTTTGTGGATTTCCTCTTTCTTGTCACTTTTGCTGTACAGAAGCTATTTAACTTAATGGGATCCCATTTGTCCATTTTTGCTTTGGTTGCCTGTGCTTGTGGGACATTGCTTAAGAAATATTTTCCCAGTCTAATGTCCTGGAGAATTTCTCCAATGTTTTCTTGTAGTAGTTTCATAGTTTGTTACCTTAAAGATTTAAGTCTTTAGTCTATTTTGGTTTGATTTTTATATACAATGAGAGATAGTGGTCTTGTTTCATTCCTCTGCCTATGGATATCCTGTTTTTACAGCACTATTTATTGAAGAGACTGTCCTTTCTCCAATTTACATTCTTGGCACCTTTGTTGAAAATGAACTCACTGTAGATGGATGAGTTTCTTTCAGATTCTTTTTTGTGTTTCATTGGTCTATGTGTCTGCTTTAATGCCAGTAGCATGTTGTTTGGGTTACTATAGGTCTATAGTATAATTTGAAGTCAAGTAATCTGATCCTTTCAGTTTTATTCTTTATGCTCAGGATGGATTTGGCTATTCTGGATCTTTTGTGGTTCTATATAGATTTTACAATGATTCTTTCTATTTTTGTGAAGAAAGTTATTGATGTTTTGACAGGGGTTGCATTTAACCTGTAGCTTTCTTTGAGTTATATTGACATTTCAACAATTTTGATTCCTCCAGTCCATGAAGGCAGAATATCTTTCAAATTTTGGTGCCTTCTTCAATTTCTTCCATCAGTGTTTTACAGTGTTCATTGTAGCAGTCATTCACTTCTTTGGTTAGGTTTATTCTTTATTTTATTTGTAGCTATTAAATGGGATTGTTTTCTTATTTTTTTTTAAATGTTTGATGTTCACATAAAAAATGCTACTGATTTTTAAAATGTGGATTATGTATTCTGCAACTTTCTTGAATTTGTTTATCAGTTCTAATAGTTTTTAGGAGTCCTTAGGTGTTTCCAATTATAAGAGATTGTCTGCAAATAATTATTATTTGACTTCTTTTCAATTTGAATACCTTTTGTTTCCTTCTCTTGTCTGATTGCTCTAGCTACAACTTCCAGTACTATATTGAATTAGCAGTGGGGAAAGTGGGCACGTCTTGTTCCAGATCTTAGAGGAAAGGCTTTCAGCATTTTTCCCATTTGATAAGCGACTACTTGTGGTTGTGTCTTATATGGCTTTTATTGTGTTGAGGTTTGTTTTTTCTGTATCTTGTTTTTTAAGGGTTTTACAATAAAATGTTGAATTTTATCAAATGCTTTTACAGCATCAGTTGACACAATTATATAATTTTTGTCCTTTATTCTGTTGATATGATGATCACATTGATTTGCATATGTTGAACCATCCTTCCATTCCTGGGATAAATCCCACTTGGTCATTATGAATACTTTT